CCGTGTTGGTGAGCTGTGATTCGCTGAAGCTGACGCGCTTGGGCGGCCCCTCGCCGTTGTCCCGCAGCCCGTCCTCCACCGTCTGCCCCGCCGTCAGCTTACCGCCCGGAATGGCAATCAGCCGCCGGTACTCCGGTGCCAGCTGCTCCGGCTGGGTTGCTTCCTCGTCCTCTTCTTCCCACGTGCCCGCCTCCTGTGGCAGGGAGAGAGTTAGAGAGGGGAGGGAGGCCAACGACAAGGATCAATCAGCCCGGAATGGCAATCAACCGCCGGTACTCGGGGGCCAGCTGCTCCGGCTGCGCTGCTTCCTCGTCCTCCTCCTCCCATGCGCCCGCCTCCTGTTGCAAAGAGAAAGAGGAAGAAGAGAAGGAGGTGGTGCGGAGAAGGCTGGGAGAGTGTGAGGTACTCTTTGGTACTCCGAGGCCAGCTGCTCCGGCTACGCTGCTTGCTCGTCCTCCTGCCCTGCCCACGCGCCCGACTCCTTGTGTGGATGTAGTCGAGGGGCAGCTAATCCACCAGCGCTGCTACCTCCTCCTCCTCCTCCCACAATCCCCGCACCATCTCCCCTTCTCCTCCCCCCAACACCTCCCTTCCCCTCCCCAAACCACCACCTCTCCCCACCCCCAACCTCCTTCTCACCTTGATAAGCTCCGCCTCGTTCACTTCATGAAGCCGCCCCTCCTTGAGAGGCACGCTTGATGCTGCGACGTCCCTCTCCGCCTCCCCCACCCCCAGCACATTCCTCACCCCCACCTACCCTCCCCTTTCAATCCCCTTCCCCCTCCCCCTTCCTCCTCACCTTGATAAGCTCCGCCTCGTTCACTTCATGCAGCCGCCCCTCCTTCAGCGCGGCGCTCGCCGCCTCGCGCGCCTTCTCCGCCTTGGCGCGCACCTTCTCCGCGTCCCCCAGCCCCAGCACCTTCGCCTTCGCGCGCCGCTCCTCGCTCGCCACCGCCGTCACCCCCCCTTCCCCCCCCGCGCCCGCGCCGCTCGCCGCCCCATCCGCCGGCTGGCCGTCTGTCTTCTCCTCTGCGGGGTCGTCTGTAGCGACGACGGTTGAGAGCTCTTTGGGGCCCTTGGGCGGCTGCGTGGAGATGAGGATCTTGCCGCGCAGCGAGAAGGGCGACGGGAACTCCTTGTCGCCGTCCTTGGGCATGTACAGCGTGTCGCCGAGAATCTCCGTGAGGGTCTGAGGGGGGGTGAGGGTGGGAGAGGAGGGGAAGATGGGGATATTTTGGAACGGCGCAAGGCGCAATGGCGCATGGCGCAATGTCGCATGGTGCAAGGGCGCAAAGTGCAATGGTGCATGGCGCATGGCGCGATGGCGCATGGCGCAATGGCGAATGGCGCAATGTCGCATGGCACAATGTCGCATGCTGCAATGGTGCATGCTGCAATGTCGCATGCTGCAATGTCGCATGCTGCACTGTTAAATGCTACGTGCTCCCTTCGCTACACTCGATCAACTGAGAGCCTGGCGCTTGCAGGACGCAATGCACTTGTTTGGTTGGCAAGTAATGTTACTATTATCAAAGCGCCTGATTCGGTTCCCTGGTTTTACGACCTCACCTGGGCGGCTTTTTCTTGCAGCGGCGCGGTGAGGTGGTCTTCGAGCGTGATAATAACGGGGTACTCGGACACCACGAACGCGTGCTCCTTGATCGCCGTGATGCAATCCGCGAACCCCACCGGCTTCGTCAGCGTGCTGCGCGCGGGAGGGGGGGAGTGATGGGGAAGCGGCGGGGGGGGGGGGGGGGGGAGTGGTGAGGAAACGGCGGGGGGGGGGGAGTGGTGGGGAAACGGGGAGGGGGGAAGCGAAGGAAATGCGGGAAGGAATGGGAAAAAGGGAGCGGGAAGGCTGGAGGGAAGGAAGGGAGAAGGCGGGGAAGGCGCGGGGTTGCGCGCGGGGAGGCGCGAGGTTGCGCGTGGGGACGATGGGAAAACGCCGGGGGAACAACGGTTTGGGGGTCGTACCCGCCGTGCATGACGACGATCTCCGTCTTCTCGTTGTTGGGCCACAGATCCAGCTCTATAACGCGTACGCCGCGCTGCAGTGCCTTGATGATGGGCTTGACGCTGCTGTCGCTGGTGAGCTGGTTACCACTCAGGTACGAATTGTGGCCAGTGAAGATGAAGTAGTGCGACATCGGCTGCTTCATGTCGTGCGACACCTGCGATGTCGCAAGCGAGCATGCGACCATGAACGAACAGAAGCAAAAGATTGCTGCGTAAGATGGGAGCGAACGTCAAGTGGACGAAACGGACGGATTGCGGAGAGCGAGCATGCGAGAAACAATAACTTGGTGTTCGTTGCCCCCATTTTGCATTGATATGACCCAAAAAAAAAAAAAAAAAAAAAAAAAAAAACACTGTACTCGTTCGTTTCTTTCCAGTGACGACGATGGATGCCTTACTCGGGCGATGATAGGAGCAGTCGCAGAGGGGTTCATGAGCAAGCGAAAGAAACGATCTTCGTTAGGCCCCCCTGCGACGCCCATGAGCTTGCTGCCGACGGTGTGCGACACTTTTTCCATCGCATGCGCGAGCTTGCTGCCCTGGCCCTTGAACGTCATGCTGCGGTACATTCGCTCCTTGGGCGCCGGCGCCGCTGCCGCCTCCTCCTTGCCGCCGGTGCTAGGGAAGGAGAGGAGAAGGTTCGCGATAGGTCCATGGAGCACCCCCTGCAAAGATAAGAAGGGGAGTCATAATGCAGACCCTAGCCGAGATTTGAAACGCTTTATATAAAAGTTAGTTAAAGGCTCACTGCAAGGCGTCGACCAAAAACGGAGGCAAACGAACTACATATTGTTGATCCTTTAAAGAGGGGGTGCTGAAGACACGTCAATGTCACTGCTTTCTTGCGATAAGCAAAACAGATACTACATTGACAGCAAAAATGAGAAGCAATAACTTCTTATGCTGGCTCTTAAGTCACCTCATTGACTCTACTCACAACTCACCTTTGAATCAAGTACAATGGATACGTTATTGACATCAGCGGTAGCGAGGACTTGCGAAATGGTTACCACAAGTGAGCGACGATACCTTGTCCTGCTGGTACTCCTGGAAGAACTTAAGCAGAGCCTTGCTCGTGATCACGCCGTTCTCGTCCGCATACTCTTTGAACACCTGCTTCACCGACTCAGGAACGTCAGGGAACGGGGGCTCCCCGCCTTTCCCTTGCGAGCAGCAGTTCCCCATGCTTGCGACTACTAAAAAGCGATTCGCGAAACGCGTACGACTCTGCTTGAAGAGACGCAGGCGATCATCTAGCCATGGCCTGCCAACTAAAATAGACGTTTTGGCTGTTTGTCAACAAACCTAAGAACTGACTTGTGCTCAACTTCTGGAAAGCATATTCCCATCCTAGGCTCCTTCCGACACTCTGGTCTGTGTTGGGCGAACACTGACTGAAACAGTACAGTTGCTACAGCTGTCGCTTTGCTTGTTCTCTGCTCTTGGCCTTTCAAAACCACTCGGCCTTTCATCACCACTCCTCACCCCACAATAACCTCCGCTCCGCAGTCTCGTCCTGACGAGGGTCAGGCGGGGAAGCGCAGCCCCGGAGCCGAAGGTAAACTAGGCAGTCGCGGCATTACGGAAGCTTGCGGGGAAGTTCTGGGATTGCCGCACGGCGAGGGGAGGGACACTGGGCGCAGACAGCGTTGAGGTTAGGCCATGTCGATTGGTCCTCAAGCCCAGCGGAGCCCCGGACGGAACACTCAGCTTCGGCTGCGAAGATCGAAAAACCCGGTGCAAGCCACAGAGGGGCCAGCTGATACTTGCCGAACCGGAAGTGGGACGTGGCACTAGCCTTGGGGATCTCAGACCTACTGAGCTGGAGAGTCGAGCCTAGGGGTGACGTATGGTTGACGGGAGCCAGGCTGGAGCCCGTGGCACTCACGAATCCACGGTGGAATTGCGCGATGCGATGAGTGCCCTCTCCCTTATACACAAACTACATGTATAAACATTTTTCATCCCAGCCGTATCCAGAAGCGAGTTCATTCATAAATCGAGGTATTTGGAGACTGTCAGGAGGCGTTGGGCTTGTTGGGAGTTCCGTACGTGTAGTGTGTGTGTTGGCATTCCACATGCCATGCCGCAATACCAGTGCAGCTGAGTCAACTCTTCCGTGGCGTACATATGGCGCACTACCTATGGTCATTGGGATACATACGAATCCACGCAGGGCGCTCCCACGATATGGTCCCACTGGTTGGGAGAACTGCTCAGCAGATTGGTCCAGCGAGGCATCACACTCTCGTGCTGATACAGCAGATCGTGACAGCTCACTGAACCAAACCAAACCCAAGGCACCTTCCTTATGATTCTTGCATCTTCGTCCCGATGAGCAACCGCCACAGCAGCTGAGGGGAAGGCCTTCTGTTATGATACAGTCTGTTTTTCAGACATCAGAATTCAAATTGATTCCTTGATTACATCGCACTCAGCTGTAACTACGTGGTTCCTCCAAGCGTCGTAGACTTTCTGCTAGAGCCAGAACCTTCGAATCCGCACTCATGTTGGCCTCCGCGCGCGTAGCGTCGGCCCACGCGCTGTCCGTGGCGTGCAGAATACCCACCCATAAGAGCCAACAAGCGCACTCCCACGTGCCGCTGCTACAAGGTTCGTTCTTTCGACAACGTGATCTCGGAAGGTGTCTGGTTTACGAACTGTAGAATACTTCAGACGAGAAGTATTTTATAAGCGGGCAGGTGCTGCTGTAATTCCTAAAAGAATCGCGTTTCGTATTGTCATCATGTACCCATTTACATTCAGCAGGTCGCAAGAAGCATGTAACGAGACCCGTCTGCCAAGCCAGCCACCGGAGCAAGGTGAGAGCTGTGCCAGGAACCGATTTACGCTAAAAAAGAAGTATCGTCATTCTACTGACTATTGTTAAGTGCCTCGCATAGAAGTCCCGGTGGCATGAGCGCGTACGGATGCATGCGTGAGCCACAAGGCTCCCTCAATGCGCGAACCACTCCGGAGAACGCATGGTAAGCATTACGAGATACGCAAGTTATCTATCGCAAAATTCGCACCAGCCCAAAAGTTGCGTGAATGCGACCTGTCGAAGATACGACTATGATCCTGCATAATGATGCAGCAGTACGATCGCTATGATCCCCTACCACCTGCAAATCCTTATCCCCGTGCGTTCTATGCCTTTTTCTCTCCCATCTCCCGCATCCTCTTCCTTCCCACTCACTTCAGACCGAGACCACCATCACCTCCACTACCACCACCACAGCAGCTGCCGCAGCAGCAGCAGGAGGCGGTCTGTGGACTCTCCTCGCAGCGCTCCCCATCCCTCCCGCCCTTGCGGAGACTGGAGCGGATGCAGACGCGGCGGCGGCAGCGGCGGCGGCGTTGGCGGACGCGTGCTCGCAGGAGCTGGGCGGGGCGGACCTGAACACGGTGATCGCCGTGGCGTGCGTCGTGCAGCTCATCGCGCTCATCGGCGCAGGCGTCGGAGGTGCGTGGCGCGCCGCAATGAGATACGTAAGGTTCTGACTTTTGAAAAGCCTCAAGTAGTGTGGAGGTGGGTAGCGGTGTCGTGCAGCTCATCGCGCTCATCGGCGCGGGCGTGGGAGGTGCGTGGCAGGCCGCAGTGAGGTAGATGGATTGGAGATTTGAAAGACCTCCGGTGTGGGAGGTGGGTGGCAGCATAGAGCTAGATGCGACGTGGTTGGGACCCGTAGGGGTATGCGGAAGGTGAGTGGTCTGCATTGACCGGGGGGGGAGGTGACTGTCATTGATCGTAAGTTGGAGTTACGGAGGTTGCAGCTGAATCTCACCTTAAACTTGAACGAGACGCAACGAATCTGATGGCCAAGGGATTGTATTCACAACTTTTGTATCCGTCTCCCCAACTGCTGGTTCAGGCACGCCCTTTCCCCCGCGCTCTCTGTGTTGTGGCCTCTCCTGATCTTAGAAGCACTTCAAGCGAAGCATTTGTCACTCACTCACTCCTTACTCATTCACTACCCACTATTCAATTACCCCTCCCTCCTCAGTCACTGCGTCCCTTTCTTCAATCCCCTTCCTGTCACCAACATACTCTCACTTAAATAACCCATTCTGCCACACTTCAATAATATTGTAGCAAATACGCACCTCATCCTCATGGCCCACCCGATCCCCCATCTCCACAGCTCCAGGCTGGATGGCGCGGGTGCCCAAGGTGAAGGTGGAGGCGCCTCAAAAGCCACTCACACATGCCCACCCATCCCCATCCCCATCCCCACGACCCCATCCCAGGGTGGGTGGCACGGGTGCGCAAGGCGGAAGTGGAGCGCATCAACGCGCAGCTGAGGCAGATCAACATCAGCCTGCGCAAGCACCACTTTTGAGGCGCCTCAAAAGCCTCTCACACATGCCCACCCACCCCATACCCCACCTCCATGGCCACAGGGTGAGTGGCACGAGTGCGCAAGGCGGAGGTGGAGCGGATCAACGTGCAGCTGCGCCAGATCAACATCAGCCTGCGCAAAAACTTATGAGGTGCCTCAAAACTCGCTCACACCCAATCCATCCCCACGGCCCCACTCCCCATCTCCTCCATGGCCACAGGCTGGGTGGCACGGGTGCGCAAGGCGGAGGTGGAGCGAATCAACGCGCAGCTGCGCCAGATCAACATCAGCCTGCGCAAGCAGGCGCGCGTGGAGTCCTACGCGCCCTCCCTCTCCTACGCCCCCGTCGGCCAGCCCGCCGCCGCCGCCGCCGCTGCCGCTGCCGCTGCCGCCGCCGCTGCTGTCGCTGCTGCGAGCGCGCCAACAGAGGCAGTAAAGAAGGAAGGGGGGGCGGCAATTTCAGAGGAGAAGCGGGCGGTGCTGCGGCTGTTGAAGGAGGGCAAGAGGTACCTGCGCGAGGGCAACAACGCGGCGGCGTTTGTGGAGTTTGAGAAGGGGCTGCAGCAGGCGCAGCGCATGGGGGATTGCCTGGAGGAGAAGAAGGCGGCGCGAGGGTGTGGTGAGTGCGGTGGGGCGCTGGTCGTGGATGGGTGTTAGGCGTCTGATTGTGTGTCTTGACGTCTGCCATTTTACAGGCTCTGGTTTTGTGCATGAGTAAAGCTGTTTAATGCACAATCGTGGTTTGAAGCATGGGTATCATGGCCTGTTGGATGGGGTATCACAGCTGGTTGTATGGGTTGCCACAGACGCCAGCCATCCTGATGCAGGTTTCCTCCCACGTTGGCATGGTAAGCACTGCACCATAACCCTTTATCATCTCTACCCCACCAGTTCTCTCCCGCTGTACCCTCCTCATTCTTCAGCTAACTTTCTGCATGTGCATGTTTTCTCCTCTCCTTTCTCTTCCCGCCATCCTATCTCGCGCTCTCCCACTCTCCCCCTCTTATGCCTCTGCTTGCCTTCATCTCACATTCTATTCCCGCGCTTGTTCCCTTACTGCTTCTCTATTCCCCAGGGGCGTCGCTGCAGCGGCAGGGCAAGTATCGGGAGGCGATAGCATACCACCAGAGGGTGCTGGACAAGTCGTGCAGCTCAGGCGAGCATGCAGGGGACACAGAGGCCTATGGCGCCATTGCCGACTGTTACACTGAGATTGGGGACCTTGAGAATGCCGCCAAGTACTATGACCGGTACATTTCCCGGATGGAGTCTGACGATGAGGACCATTAGGTTAGGTGTCTTGCCCAATGTGGTGTACCGTATCTTTCTACATGGATGTTTCCGTTTTCTGTGACTTGCATGTATACTACCATGAGCAGCACTCTGTCCACAGTGAATGCCCTGCCCACATTTGTGTGTGGCGCACTGTGTGAAATGAACCAGGGAATACACGGGGGACACGCAGGCCTGGCAGCTGCTACACTGAGATGGGGAACCTTGAGAATGCCGCAATTCTGTACACCCGTTCACATAATCTGTAAGATAATCTTGAAGTTGAGAAGTTGGCAACTCGGCAAGAAGCAACATACTGTACAATACCGGTTCAGGTGCCTGTGCTGAATATTGGTGCTACCACACACAGCCTTGGCTTATTTTGCCGTGTGTCTCAAGAACCCTTCTCTTGCGAGTAGTGCGGAACCAAAAGCAGCATCCGTGTTCCCTGACGGGGCCACAGGCACGCCCATCACTCGCTCCCTTATCGCACTCCATGTGGGGTTGCCTGCACCTCCACCTGCGGTGTAGACCCGCTTCACTGGCGGTGACGCTCCCAGGTGAGCTAATAACGAGTATGCCCTCGCCTGTTGGGGTGGGGGCAGGAGCGGATCACATGTGTGGGCATGTTGCACAGTAGCAGATGAAAAGGAGCGAGTGGATGCCATGGTGCTTGTGTGCGAGCATGACACTGTAACAAGACAAACAAGGTGCGGAATCAATGGAGAAAGGGAGTGGGGAGCAGAGGCGCACCTCTATAGTGGCAATGGGTTCAAGAATGCCGTGCAGGAAGAGAGATTGAGATGGAAGACAAGTGAGTGACGGGACAAGGAAGCGAGTGACGGGACAAGGAAGCGAGTGACGGGACAAGGAAGCGAGTGACGGGACAAGGAAGCGAGTGACGGGACAAGGAAGCGAGTGACGGGACAAGGAAGCGAGTGACGGGACAAGGAAGCGAGTGACGGGACAAGGAAGCGAGTGACGGGACAAGGAAGCGAGTGACGGGACAAGGAAGCGAGTGACGGGACAAGGAAGCGAGTGACGGGACAAGGAAGCGAGTGACGGGACAAGGAAGCGAGTGACGGGACAAGGAAGCGAGTGACGGGACAAGGAAGCGAGTGACGGGACAAGGAAGCGAGTGACGGGACAAGGAAGCGAGTGACGGGACAAGGAAGCGAGTGACGGGACAAGGAAGCGAGTGACGGGACAAGGAAGCGAGTGACGGGACAAGGAAGCAAGTAGCAGGGGCGCACCTCAATGGTGGCAATGGACTCGAGAATGCCGTGCAGGAAGAGAGCGTCATCAGCAGGGCGAGGAGTCAAGCTGCACGAGCGAGAGAGGAAAGGAAAGGTGTGACTTATCCAATTCAGAGACAACCCAGTTAGGCTGGCTGTGCGATCAAAGGGGTGGATGCAATGAGTGGGGGCACACGGACAAGACCATATGGCAGCTAGGTATGAATCCGAGGCTGCACACTCACCGAGGCTGTAGGTCAGGGTCGGACACGGGGAACCTCTCCCCTGGGCGAGTAAGTGGGTAGTAATCGAGTTTACTCCCTACACTCGGGTCTATTTTTACACTCAGCTCCCTCAGCTGCTCATCTGTGAAATACCCCCACAGCACTGCGCCGCCCGTATTCGACGCCCCGCCGACCAGCCACTTGCACTCCTTGTCCTCTTCTGCCGCACCTCCCTGCTCCGTCTCCCCCTCGTTCTCCACCTCGGGCGGCGCCCAATTTCCGGGCGGCAAGCGGTGGCTGTATACTCCAAAACGAGCATCGTCGATTCTCGCAGTGCTGACGAGCTTAACGGCGAGGGTAGAGCCGAGCGAGGTGACGGCATACCCGGGGGTAGTTACCCTCGCGGCCAGGAAAGCGGCAATGCTGTCGGTGGTGCCGGTGGTGACGATGCAGTCAGACGGGAGGGCTGCCAGGGAGGGAGGGAGGGAGGGAGGGAGGGAGGGAGGGAGGGAGGGAGGGAGCAAGTGGAGGGTGGAAGGGGGGGAGGCATATGTTTATGTCCCTCGCGGCCAGGAAGGCGGCAATGCAGTCAGACGGGAGGGAGGGAGCAGGTGGGGGACATAAGAGTGTGATGGTGAGAATATGACCAGTGCGAGAGACCACACATAGGAGGAGTTACATACAATGCTGTCATGGAGGGATGGTAGTGTGATGGTGAGAGTGATGATGAGTGTGTGACCAGCTCTAGTGACCACAGATCAAAAGTTACAAGTATGCCTGATTGCATGACATGCACTTGAACGCCCAGTCTGAAGCCAGCCGCGTGATTGCTTCACACACACAAAGGCCCTCCAACTTGATTCACCAAGTCAGCCGCGACTTGTGTCCCCACAGTGCCAGTAGGGGAGGCAAGTGGCAGCACACGTGGTAGGGTGGAAGCATGGTACTCCCACCGACAGAACAACAGACACGTGACTTGTCACTGCTTCCAACTCCCCACCTCAACTCACCAAACTCGGCTGTGAGTTGTGCTGCGACGGAGCCAATGAGGGAGCCGGGCGGCAGCACACGTGGCAGCATGGGGGAGAAGGGCAGTGCGAGCAGCCAGGCGGGGTAGGCGCCGCTCGCAGGGTCGTAACCCAGCTGGGAGGGTTGGGGGGGGGGGAGGGGAAGGTGTATTCGGGGGAGGCGTGCTGTGAGAATGATTGGGTTCACGCTGCCAGTCGGGGTAGGCGCTACTCTTAGGGTCGTAGCCCAGCTGGGAGGGTTGGGGGGAGGGATATATAGGGAAGGAGTATTTAGGGGAGGTGTATTTGAAGGAGTTATGAAACGAGGATCCCGGTAGGAAGAAAGAAATAAAGAAAGAAAGAAGAAGAAATAAAACGTTACCATCACGAAATCACCTTTTCAGACGTCTGAAAGCTCACCAGTACCATCCCACGCACCAGCGCATCGTCCCATCTCATCTCACCTTGAGTGCGCTGTTGAAGTCTTTCACATGCACATCCGCTGCGCCGCCCCACACAGCTGGCTGGATAGCAAGCTATGAGGCAAAATTATCCAACATGGCCACCACCCTCACACCCATCAGCAACACCTCACCTTGAGCGCGTTATTGAAGCCTGTCACATGCACGTCCGCTGCCCCACACAGCTGCTTGGGGAGCAGCTTGTCATGCACAACCATCCCATGCTACCATCCCATGCTACCATCCCATGCTACCATCCCATGCTACCATCCCGCCGCCGCCCAATCACATCTCACCTTGAGGGCGTTATTGAAGTCTGTCACATGCACGTCCGCTGCCCCACACAGCTGCCCCAATAGCCAGTCCGCCTGATGCACCATCACCACCTCCCCCTCTCCCTTTCCTCCCTCTCCTCCTCCACCTCTTCCCTGTCTCTCCTCCTCCCCACTCCCCTCCCCCTGCCCACCTCCCACCCCCTGCCTCAACCACCACGTCATCAGCTTGCACAGCGTGGACGTGCCAGCTGTCGTCGTGTGATTGGCCGGCGCCACTGCCGCCACGGCAGCCACGGCTTCAGCGCTGCCCGCCTCGTTGTACATCATGGGGCGAGCAATGGGCTCACGTGTGGTGCTGGAGATGGGATGGGGGGAACGAGGCAATCAGTCTCTTGAATCGGACTGCCTGCCTGCTTCAGGGCTGCCCGCCTCGTTGTACATCATGGGTCGGGCCACGGGCTCACGGGTAGAGCTGATACACGGAAGGGATGGAAGAGACGAGAGGGAGGAGGAGCAATGGTCGCACCACATTGCACCACGTTGCACCACACGCTGCTTGCCTCGTTGTATGAAGAGCTCGTGGTGTTGCACCCACGCATGCGTGCATTTTCATGCTCACATGCCATCATGCCACCATACCACCTGCGGCTCTCTTTCCCCAGCACCGCACTGCACCCCTGTAGTGGCTCTCTCACTGCCTGACGAGCATGGTGGTGCCAGACGTGCCCTCCAGCACCATGTCACCTGGACCGCACCACACCGCACTGCACCCATGCAGACGCTCTCTCACCGGCTGACGACCATGGTGGTGGCGGACGTGCCGTCCAGCGACACTGCCACCACTTGCCGCCTCAACTCCTCGGGAATGTCGAGCAACAGTCCAAACAACGCCGCCCGCCAACCTTCCGCTGCTGACACGTCACTGTCCGGGTCACTGCTTCTGACGACTGCTGACTCGGATGCTGACTCAGCATGGGCGGCAGGAGGGTACTTCCTCTTGACGTCAGCAAGAATTGTGGCGTTGCCATCGATAACAACAGCACGCGCCCCAGACGTGCCAAAATCAAATCCCAGAAAAAGTGGGGACAATTCAGCTGCTGACGTGGACGCGCGCACAAGGACGGCGCCGCCAGGTTGCCGGACACGTGGCATTGCCTTCAAGCTGCCACGTGGCAGCAATTTCCGGATTTGCCCTTCTACAAACGGGTTGTTCAGGCGGTTCCTGTGTGGTCGGCTTATCCCCGTCCGCCAATTAGGTTGCTCCACGTGGCGATTGGAGGCGCATTGCCCTCCCACGGTCGTGCTGATTGCTGGGGCGGCAATGTTGCAGTGACAATAGCGATGGGTCGCATTCTGATTCCGAGAGTGAGTATGGGGGAGAGTGCGGCAGAGAGCGAGAGTGCAGCGGGATTCAAGGCGCGCGGAGGTCGAGGCAGGGTGGGGACGACAATGCGCATTCCGCGGCAATGCGCCGCACGTTGGGGAAGCCATACAAAGCAACGTCATGGGAAAAGAATACCGAGAATATTTTACAAAGAAGTAAAGTTAAAGCGTGCACTCAGCTGTGGGCGTTTGGTCTAGTGGCATGATTCTCGCTTAGGGTGCGAGAGGTCCCGAGTTCAATTCTCGGAACGCCCCTTTTCTCTCCTCCAAATAATTTTTTGTCGCTCCTAATGGCCTGTTGGTTGAGAAATTAGAGGCCTCTGAACCTCTGAGTTTACTACCTGACCCTGAAGGGGACGAGAAGGAAGCTTGGGTGAAGGAACAACTGGCATAGGGCATTAAATCCAAGCATGAGTTGCACGGCTTGCTTTGGAATGCAGCAATGCACAACATCTAACTGTCATCCTTCCCTGCCTTGTCTAGTTATGGTACCTCATCGTTTATGCTCATATATATACAAGAGCATTAGCTTCCATGTATTGTACCCGTAGTACTGTTTCCCTAGCTCTATGTGCAGTATGCAACAGGATCTTTACAGATCCCTCGTAATTCCTACGTATGCATGTTACGCACCTTGATTAACTTCAGGTAATGTCTCCGGTACCTCAGTAAGCTGTTGCGCCGGTGTGTGCAACCGCTCGGGTGTGTGCTGCTGCTGCCGCTGCCGCTACAGCTCAGGGTGGCCATAATGCATGCGCGGGTGGCGTGTGATGACGCGTGAAGCACTGGTGCGAGGCACATGAATCACCCAGCCAGGGCCTGACAGGCATGTGCTGGTGCTACCGTGTGGGCTGGCCGTAGTGTGTGCGCAGGTGGCACGTGAGGCACTTTAAGCCCTGCTCTGGGTCGTATGTACCACGCAGGCAGGCCTGAACAGAGTATGCTGCTGCAACTGCTAGGGATGGCTTGCCCGCGTGTGCTGGTGCTGCCGCGCTGGCTGGCCATTGTGTGTGCGCAGGTGGCGTGTGAGGTGCTTGAAGCCCTTGTCTGGGGTGTATGCACCGCGCAGGCAAAGCTAAATCGCGTATGCTGCTGCAACTGTCCGCGTGTGCTGGTGCTACCGCGCCGGCTGGCCGTAGTGCGTGCGCAGGTGGCGTGTGAGGTCCACCTTGTACCCAAACGCCCTCCCACACTCCGTAAAGCTGCACGGGAGGAAGGGGGGGAGGGGGGGAGCGGACAGGTGGGAAGCAAGGGAGTGTGTACGCAGGTGACGTGTAAGGCCTTGTACCCAAACGCCCTCCCACACTCCGTAAAGCTGCACGGGAGGAAGGGGGGAGGGGGGAGGGGCGGGCCGGACAGAGGGCGTTGAGGAGGGAAGCAAGGTGGGAAGGGAGTGCATGCGCAGGTGGCGTGTGAGGTCCACCTTGTACCCAAACGCCCTCCCACACTTTGTGAAGCCTCATTTAGAGGTTGGGGGAGAGAGCGGGGGAGGGGGGGGGAGCGTGGGGGACGGGGGGATGGGGGGGGGAGGGTGGGAAACGGGGTTGGAGGGAGAGGGGGAAAGGGGGAAACGGGGTTGGAGGGAGAGGGGGAAAGGGGGAAACGGGGTTGGAGGGAGAGGGGGAAAGGGGGAAACGGGGTTGGAGGGAGAGGGGGAAAGGGGGAAACGGGGTTGGAGGGAGAGGGGGAAAGGGGGAAACGAAGGGGGAAGTGTGATGCGGCAAGCGAGTGGGACTCACGAGCAGTGGGGGAAGGGCTTTTCGCTTGTGTGTGTGCGCAGGTGGCTTTTGAATCAACTCATAAGGCAAGGCAGGGCATGAGCAATAGCAGTGGAAGAGCAAGGCATGCATGGCTCACGAGCAGTGGAAGGGTTTCTCGCCCGTGTGCGTGCGCAGGTGGCCGTGCAGCGAGTTGGTCCACTTGAACGTCTTCTCACACCCCTCCCACGGACACTGCAGGGGCCGCTCGTTGCTGTGCGTGCGCTGATGCACCACCTGGTAAGGGGAAGGAGGGAGAGAGGAGGGGGAGAGGGAGGGAGGAAAGGAAGTGCGGGTTGTTGGTTTGGCTCTGCGCTGACAAGTGAGGAAGAGCAGGGAGGCGAGCAGGGAGGCGAGCAAAGGCAAGGACGCCATGCCTGTCAACACAACTTGGTTCCAGCCACTCACCAGCCGCTCTCGGAACGCAAACCGTTTCCCACACCCAGGCACCGCACACGCGTGCAAGCACTCGTGCTTCTTGACGTGCCGGCCCAGCAGCTGCCGGGTGGCCATGCGCTCGCCACACCCGTCCACGGAGCACTGGTAGGGGCGCTGCCCCGAGTGCTCGTTCAGGTGGTCCTTGAGTGTCCCTGGCGTGGCGAACTTGCGCGGACACCCCGTGTGCGGGCAAACGTGCGCCCTTTCACTCGCTGCTATCAGCCTCTTCGTCTCCTGCAGCATCTGGAAAGGGGGGAACAGAGAGGCAGAGAGGCAGAGATGCGGGAATGATAGAGGCAGAGAGAGGGGACAGCCAGTGTGCAGGCAGAGAGAGGGGACAGCCAGTGTGCAGGCAGAGATGTGTGCTCGCTCGCTTGCAGCTATCAGCCTCTTGGTCTCCTGTAGCATCTGGGGGGAGTGGGAAGGGATGAGAGTAAGGAAGATGGGATGAAAGAGGGAGACAAACTGCTCTGAGGCAGCATGAACCTTCACAAAAACAAGTGCTCGCCCGCTAGCTTGCTGCTATCGCACCCCTTTCTCCTCTCACCTGCTCCAGCTCCACTGTCCGCTCCCCCCATAGTGTCTCCAGCAACTCACCATCCGCTTGCAGCCCTCTACGCACCCTCTTCATGATTCACTTTCTATGCAGCACACCCCTCCTCCTCCCCTCTCACCTGCTCCATCTGCGCTACTGTCAGCTCCTCCCAAGGCGTCTCCAGCAAATAACCATCCCACACAGTCCCTCCTTTCAACCCAGCCATCATCCCATTCCTACCACACCCTCCCCTCCCATCTCACCTGCTCCATCTGCGCTACTGTCAGCTCCTCCCAAGGCGTCCCCAGCAACCCGCCACCCGCCTCTCCTCCCCCTGCAGCATGTGCTCCCTGTTGTGCCCCGTGGCTCCCCTCTGCTCCTCGTGCTCCCTGCACTGCCCCTTGTGCCCCTTGTGTTCCCTCACTTGTGCTACGAGCTACAGCAGACCGAGTAACAGCGCTAGCACCACCAGTGCTAGCAGCAGCATGAGGCGCACCACCAACCCCTTGCCCAGCAGCCATGCCAGCAGCCTCTAGAGCCATGCGGTACGTCATTGCCAGCTCGTATGCATCTGACCCCCTCAGCTGCTCCGGCCTGCACGTGGGAGCAGGATGGGAACAAGAGGTGGGCGGAAGGGAGCATGGGTCTCTTCACCCCCTTGCCTCCACAGCCATGCGGTACGTCATTGCCAGCTCGTACGCATCTGATCCCCTCAGCTGCTCCGGCCTGCACGGGGGGGTGAAGGAAAGGGGGGATGACTACACGGGTTGCCACTGCTGCACTACTGCTGCTGTCTGCTCTCCTTCCTGCTGCTCAGGGCGGAGGGCAAGCCCGTGAGGGGCCATCCAGCGGTGTCCCCACTCGTGGAGCTCAGGCTGTCCCTGGAGAAGGTGAGTCGGCTTGGAACACGTTGGCTGAGGGTTCAGTGTTAGGGGTTCTGGGGATGTGTTCAGGGGATGTGTTCTGGGGATGTGTTCTGGGTGCATTCTCAGGGCGGAGGGCAAGCTCAAGCTCCATGGCACGGTCTATTGCTGCACGGTCTATTGCTGCACGGCCTTTTGCTGCACGGTCTATTGCTGCACGGTCTATTGCTGCTCGGTCTATTGCTGCACGGTCTATTGCTGCTCGGTCTATTGCTGCACGGTCTATTGCTGCACGGTCTATTGCTGCACGGCCTTTTGCTGCACGGTCTATTGCTGCACGGTCTATTGCTGCTCGGTCTATTGCTGCACGGTCTATTGCTGCTCGGTTTATTGCTGCACGGTCTATTGCTGCACGGTCTATTGCAGCACGGTCTATTGCTGCACGGTCTATTGCTGCACGGTCTATTGCTGCACGGTCTATTGCTGCACGGTCTATTGCTGCACGGTCTATTGCTGCACGGTCTATTGCTGCACGGTCTATTGCTGCTGCATGGTCTATTGCTGCACGGTCTATTGCTGCTGCACGGTCTATTGGTGCACGGTCTATTGCTGCTGCACGGTCTATTGCTGCTGCACGGTCTATTGCTGCACGATCTATTGCTGCTGCTCGGTCTATTGCTGCACGGTCTATTGCTGCACGGTCTATTGCTGCTGCACGGTCTGCTGCTGCTGCACGGTCTATTGCTGCTGCACGGACTATTGCTGCTGCACGGTCTATTGCTGCACAGTCTATTGCTGCACGGTCGATTACTGCACGGTTTATTGCTGCACGGTCTATTGCTGCTGCACGGTCTATTGGTGCACGGTCTATTGCTGCTGCACGTCTATTGCTGCTGCACGGTCTATTGCTGCACGGTCTATTGCAGCACGGTCTATTGCTGCACGGTCTATTGCAGCACGGTCTATTGCTGCACGGTCTATTGCTGCACGGTCTATTGCTGCACGGTCTATTGCTGCTGCATGGTCTATTGCTGCACGGTCTATTGCTGCTGCACGGTCTATTGGTGCACGGTCTATTGCTGCTGCACGGTCTATTGCTGCTGCACGGTCTATTGCTGCACGATCTATTGCTGCTGCTCGGTCTATTGCTGCACGGTCTATTGCTGCACGGTCTATTGCTGCTGCACGGTCTATTGCTGCACGGTCTATTGCTGCTGCACGGTCTATTGGTGCACGGTCTATTGCTGCTGCACGGTCTATTGCTGCTGCACGGTCTATTGCTGCACGATCTATTGCTGCTGCTCGGTCTATTGCTGCACGGTCTATTGCTGCACGGTCTATTGCTGCTGCACGGTCTATTGCTGCTGCACAGTCTATTGCTGCACAGTCTATTGCTGCACGGTCGATTACTGCACGGTTTATTGCTGCACGGTCTATTGCTGCTGCACGGTCTATTGGTGCACGGTCTATTGCTGCTGCACGTCTATTGCTGCTGCACGGTCTATTGCTGCACGGTCTATTGCAGCACGGTCTATTGCTGCACGGTCTATTGCAGCACGGTCTATTGCTGCACGGTCTATTGCTGCACGGTCTATTGCTGCACGGTCTATTGCTGCACGGTCTATTGCTGCTTGGTCTATTGCTGCTTGGTCTATTGCTGCTGCACGTCTATTGCTGCTGCACGGTCTATTGCTGCACGGTCTATTGCAGCACGGTCTATTGCTGCACGGTCTATTGCAGCACGGTCTATTGCTGCACGGTCTATTGCTGCACGGTCTATTGCTGCACGGTCTATTGCTGCACGGTCTATTGCTGCTTGGTCTATTGCTGCTCGGTCTATTGCTGCACGGTCTATTGCTGCACGGTCTATTGCTGCACGGTCTATTGCTGCTGCACGGTCTATTGCTGCACGGTCTACTGCTGCTGCACGGTCTATTGCTGCTGCACTGTCTATTGCTGCACGGTCTATTGCTGCACGGTCTATTGCTGCACGGTCTATTGCTGCACGGTCTATTGCTGCTGCACGGTCTATTGCTGCTGCACGGTCTATTGCTGCACGGTCTATTGCTGCTGCACTGTCTATTGCTGCACGGTCTATTGCTGCCAGCTCGTATGAAGAGTGGGACTTCCTCACCTGCTCAGGCGAGTGCAAGAAGCCTCACTTACGTTACGAGGGTAAAACGGGGAAAACGAAAGGTTCACAATTATGAGCAGAAAGCAGGGAACAGGGAGGTTACATGGCCCCTACTTGAGGCAGAGATTGCAGATCACAATGATTCTCATGCCCACTCTATTGACCCACTCACTGGATTCGCTTCCACCTGGAAAGCGCCAGCCTGCCCGAGAGAGCCGCCTTTTGAGTCGACTCAAAAGACACTCTCAAAAGTCACTCTCAGAGCCTCACCCATTTCATTGACCCACTCACTGGATTCGCTTCCACTTGGACAGAGCCAGCCTGCGTGAGAGAGACGCCCCCCTCACCTTCACGCCTGCCCTCTCCCCCTCCCCCTTCCCCCCTTCCTTCTCCGCGCCCCCTCTCCCCCTCCCGCTCCCATCTCCCCTCATTGCCCTGTCTCCTCCCCCACCTCTCCCGCTCTCCCCTCCCACCTCATCTCCACTGTCCCATGCACCCCCCTCTTGCCCCCCTCCCACGGCCCCCTCCTGCTCTCCTCTCGCGCCCCCCCATTCTCCCAACCACTCCACACAGTCGCCCTCGCCACTACCCCCACATGCATCCCCCTCCTCCTCCCTTCCCACGCGCTCCCCATCCGCCCCCTCTCTCCCCTGCCGACCTAACCCATGCGCGCTCTCTCCAAACACCTTCCCAGCCACCTCCCGTTCGTCCAATCCCCCACGCTCCACCCGCCTCCTCTTCGCTATATGCTGCTCCACATCCCCACCAGCACCACCTGTCTCAAACCCCTCCCCTCCCCTCGGCCCTCCCCCATCCCCCCTGCAACGTGCCCCGCGTCCGTCCCCCCTCATACCCTCTTCCCCCTCTCCCCCACAGCTCCCTGCCCTCCCTCGCTGCCCTGCTCTGTCCCCTCTGCTCTTCCCTGTTCTGTCCACTCTGCTCTGTCCTGCTTCCTGCCCCACACCACCGCTCCCCCACTCCGTGCCGGTATGCCCCTCTGTGGTGGCAACTGCGGCAAGCATCCACCGCTGCATGCTGCCTCCATACCGCTCTCGTACCACTTGCATGAGCCGCGCGAATACTGCAGGGGAGAGAAGGATGGGGAATAGATTGAACGAGCAGCACACAGCAGCATGCATCCATACTGCTCTCGCACCAGCTGCATCAGCCGTGAAAAGACTGGGGAGGAGAAGAGAGTGGAGGGGAAAGGAAACCGGAATTGCGAGAATGATTAAGGGATTTCACTGCACCGCACGCTCATACGCTGCACCGCACGCTCGTACGCTGCACCGCACGCTCATAACGCTGCACCGCACGCTCATACGCTGCACCGCTCGCTCATACGCTGCACCACCCGCTCATACACTGCACCGCAAGCTCATACGCTGCACCGCCCGCTCATACGCTGCACCGCACGCTCATACGCTGCACCGCCCGCTCATACGCTGCACCGCACGCTCATACGCTGCACCGCCCGCTCATACGCTGCACCGCCCGCTCATATGTGCTAGTAGCATCTTAGCACATCCCCACACCCATACAATCTACCGCAGTGTTTGCTCGTACTCCCATGCTCTCTGTAACCCGCACCCTATTCCCATGGCAACACACGTAACAGCAGCATCAATGTCAACCCTATTACTCTACCTCCATGCTCTCTGTAACCCGCACCCTGCTTCCCATGACATGACATGGCGACACACACACGTACCAGCAGCATCGATGTAGACTTGCAGCCGCCTTGTTGACTTATGAGTCGACTCAAAAGTCACTTCGTTACAATGGAACCCGCACCCTGCTCCCTTGGCATGGCAACACACGTACCAGCAGCATCAATGTCGACTTGCAGCCGCCTTGTTGACTTATGAGTCGACTCAAAAGTCACTTCGTTACAATGGAACCCGCACCCTGCTCCCTTGGCATGGCAACACACGTACCAGCAGCATCAATGTCGACTTGCAGCCGCCTTGTTCCCCCTGCCGCACCCACATGCACATGCATACCCCCCTGCACTCTATTTAACCCTCCTCTCTGCCCCTGCTGCTGGTGCTGTTGGTCTTGCTGCCTCGCCAAGCCTCCTCTCGTCTTCACCGCCCCTGCTCGTGCTTCCACTGCTCGCGCTCCCCCTGCCTGCTGCGTCCCCTCCGCCTGCGCCAGCTGCTGCAGCTGCTGGCCTAAGGCCAAAGGCAGAAAGCTTTGCACGGCTGCCCTGCTGTGGGCTGCCGCGATATTGGTTGCCCCAACACCAGCTGCCATGCCACTGTGACTGCCGTTGCCATTGCCATTGCCATTGCCATTGCCATTGCATTCCGCCTCTTGCTCCTGCAGTGGCGGTGCCACCAGGATGGCAGGAGCAGTGTGCGGATGGGCCACCTGATGATGTGCATGTGTATGCGCATGGGCATGGGCATGGGTATCGGCACGGGATGGCATGTGCTGTTGAGCGGGATGGAACGGCGGCGCATGGCAGTCACGCACATGCTGCTGCTGCTCCTGATCACCATGCATGCGATGCTGCTCATGCTGCTCATGCTGCACATGATGCTGATAGTGCATCTGCTCAAGCTCCTGGCCCTCGTTACAGCCTCCATGGTGCTGCTGCTCTTGCTGCTGTTCTAGTTGCTGATGATGCTCGTGATCCCCACCGTCATACGCAATCCCAAGGTCGCCCTCAGGCCGCCCGTACAGCATAACAGCATACTCCAACACCCCTTCTGCATCTGCCACTCCCCCCATCCCTTCCCCTCCCACCATCGCATCTGGACCGTCCATTCCTTGCACCTCCTCCCCGCCAATCCCAAGGTCCTCTACAGTAATTTCATCATGATCATCACCATACGCATCATCATTATCACAATCATTATCAAGATCATCATCACCATAATTCCCATCACCATCACCAGTGGCAACCGCAGCAGCAGCATCCCTCCCTTCAATCTCATCATCCCTTGCCGCCATCCCATCACCTCCCACTGCTGCCGCCATATCACCATCCCCCACCGCTAAGTCACGCCCCTCCTCCCCCAAGTCACACTCCCCGCCCTCCCGCTCTTCCTCCTCCCCTTCCTCTTCCCTTTCCCCATCCTCCTCTTCGTCTAGAAGCTCCAACCCCCCCACCCTCGCCGCCTCCTCTCTTCCCCCATAGTCACACTCCACCACTCCTCTCGCGTCTCCACCATTCTCCTCTGACTGGCCCACGGTTTCTCTCTCTTCCCCCGGTTTCCCCAGTTCCCCCGCGCCCCTCCCCTCCTCCGCACAACGCTCCGCTCCCCCCCACTCCGAATACCCCGAATCGCGCAGCGCCGCTGCTCCGCCATTCCGTGCGCGCGCGCTATCCCCGGGTCCCCCCCTCGCGCTCTCCGTGCTTCCGCCGCCGCTTCCGCGCGTAAATTGCGGGTCCCGACAAGGGGCCTCGTGCGCCGGGGTTAACGGGGGCGTTCTCCCGTGAAGCGCGGGACTCGCGCCGGGAATTGTGCCGGAAATTCCGCCGGAAATCGCGCTGGAATGCCCGACAACAATTCCATCGAGATTGCCGTGAGCCGCGACCGCATATCCCGCGTGGTGCAAGGGGGAAATGTACGGGTAGTGGGGGAAGGGGAGATGCGCCAAGTGCGCGTGCGGGTGGGGGAAAAGCTCCCCCGCGGGCGCAAAGTGAGGCGGAAAAGGCGCGGGGATGGGGAGCGGGGGGAGATGGGGGAGCTGATAATGGGGGAGGGGAAGATGATGCGCGTGCGGGGGGGGCGACGTGGGGAGCGACTGAAGGAGAGAAGGGGGGTGATGGGGGAAGCTGTTGAGGTGCAGTGGGGGAAAAGCAGCAGAAGGATCTTGAGGAAGCTGCTCCATGGCGAAGTATGGGTGAGAGCTGATTGTAACGCGAGTGACGAGAGTGACGAGAGTCTATCGACGGAAAGCGATCATTACGGCTTGCAGTACACGCACATTACGTCACTGGGTGCACCCGTGACGTCACTGGTTGCAGCCGCGCACATCACTGGGTCACAACGACAGACGAGAATGGTTGGTTTCTGTCATCACTGGGTATAGAGGCTGACGACAGAAAGAATGGCTGCGACGAGTCGACAGGCGAGAAGCGGAATTGTCGCAATGGTGGTGACGAGACAAACGACTGGGAGCTGAGGAACTGGCGACGAGAAATCTAACGCAAGTCGGTAACACTACCGGGACTGCCGGCATGCGACTAGGACTACCAGTATGCGACCACAATCGCCAGTACGCGACCCGGACCGCAAGCATGCGACTAGTAATGGCAGAAAAGGATACTCTCTAGGGATGAAATTTGTCAACAGACGCGCGGGTCTGGGAGGACCAGGTTCGTGAACCATCGTTATAGAGCTGGAACCGCAAAGCATAAAAAAAACCGAGACACACAGATTAATATTTATGGATACAATAACTAAAAATCTGTTGCACATAAGTAGTTTCTAAAGGTGACAAAGTTTGCCACGAGTGCAGTTCATCTTGGTACAACTTACACAAATCTCTCTCGCACCACACCCCTATCTCCCTAAGCTTGTGAACATTCAGCCTATCCTTCCCATGCATACTTCGAAGCAGATTGCCTTGCCTGGGCCTCACCACCCTGCCGTTGCAACGTATCCAAGCCAAACCTCTCATCCCTCAATCCCAGGACCTATCCAAGCCAAACCGTACCTCTTCTCCGTTGCAACCTCGCGTTGGCCCATGGGCTTACTCGCACGCTCACCATCATCACCATGCATACCGTAGTATGAAATCACACCCACCGTCAACGACTCAACGCGTTGTACCTGTGGGGTGTCCTATGATGCTATCCTACCTAGTGGGTGTAGTGGGGGTCCTTGGTGGAGTGGGTACGCCTAGCTCTCCCCCCGCCCCTCCCCCTCCTCTTCCCCCCGCCACACCATTCCCCTCGTCCCCAACTGGCAGGGTCATCAGCTGCTGCAGAGTCTTGATTAGATTCTCCATCTGCGGCCGCCCGGCCGGATCCTCGTTGATACAGTGCTTGGCGAGAACGAGCAGTTTCTGCGCGCCCACGCGGGAATATTTGTCTTCTAGCCGTTCGTCCATGAATGCCTCGAGATTCGGGCGGCGCTGTGCCACGTGTGCGCGCACCCACGTCGTCAACTTGCAGTCGTCGTTGTCGCCTCCAGACGAGGGAGGCCGGCCGGTGAGGAGCTCGAAGTAAACTACTCCGAGTGCGTAGATGTCACTCTTTGGTGTGAGATGACCTGGTGGGGGGCAACAAGTGGGGGGGAATGGGGGGGGCGGTGGGAGGGCACGGGGAGGGGGGCGGCCAATGAGGAATTAGAAGTAGATGACTCCGAGAGCATAGATGTCACTCTTTGAGGTGAGATGGCCTGGTGGGGGTAAGGGGGATTCGGGAGGGAGGGGGGTTTTTGGGAGGGGGTGTGTGTAGGCGGAAGGCAAGCTGCTGAGAAGCTCAAAGTAGACCACTCTGAGAGCGTAGATGTCGCTCTTTGGGGCGAGATGGCCTGGTGGGGGCAAGGAAGGGGAGGGAAGGAGGGGGGGTGTGGGAGGGGTGGGTGTATGGGGAAAGCAGCGTGGTGAGGAGTTCAAAGTAGACCACTCCGAGTCCGCAAAAGTCACTCTTTGGGGTGAGATGGCCTGGTGGAGGCAAGTTAAAAAGGGAAGGAGGGGGGGTTGTTGGTGGGAGGGGGGGTGTGTGGGCAAAGCAGAGCTGGTGAGAAGCTCGAGTAAACGACTTTGAGAGAGTAGGTGTCACTCTTCGGGGTGAGATGGCCGGACAGGGGAAAGGAGGGGAGGAAGGCGTGTGAAGGGGGGCAATGAAAGGAGTGACATGTGGAGGGCAAAGGCAAAAAAGCAACTCGGGTCTGATTCAAAGCCTGCCACAGGAAGGAAAGGGTGCTATGGGGACTGGATGCAATAGACCCAGCATACCTGATTCGAGGTAATTGAGGGCAACAATTGAAATTCACCCATTCTACCTGTCTCAAGGTACTTGGGTCCGAGGTACCCCATGGTGCCCATGACTCGCATGGAGATGTGTGTCTGCCCCGACTCTGGCCCCATGGTGCTCACATTGCTTATCAACGCGCCTCATAGTGCTTATCGGATGTAGAATACTGAGCGTACCTGTCTCAAGGTACTTGGGGTCGAGGTACCCCATGGTGCCCATGACTCGCGTGGAGATGTGAGTCTGCCCTGACTCTGGCCCCATGGTGGCCATGCCAAAGTCCGTCAGCTTCGCCCGCATCTCCTGCCATGGGGTGGCACATGGAGGGGAGCATGGTCGCACAAAGTCAGTTCTTGCTAAGCGTTTGATCCAAACCCACGGCCACACAACAGCAAAAGGACCCCCGGTGGGAAGCTGCATGGCCTGCTTTGACCTCATGTCCTGCCGTGGAGGGCAGAGTGGCGGGAGGAGGAAAGTGGGGGGCAGCAAGTGTGAGCAGTTGAGTTAGGAGGCGTTAAGAAAGACCTGTTGAAAGATGGATTACTGCATTTCATCCTATACCCATGCCATGGCAGGACACATCCTATACGTCTTACGCGTACAGGCAATGCATATTCCATGACAGCACAGCAAATTATACCGCATCGCACCACATCCCATCACATCCCACCGCAGCACACCTTATCGAGCAGCACGTTGCAGGACTTGAAGTCGCGGTGAATGACGTTCTCCGAGTGCAGATACGCCAGGCCCTGTGTGGCGTCCAGCTCTATCCGCACCCCACAGCATCCCACCGCATCCCACCGCCTCCCACCGCATCCCACCGCACCCCACCGCACCCCACCGCACTGCACCTTATCGAGCAGCACGTTGCAGGACTTGAAGTCGCGGTGAATCACGTTCTCTGAGTGCAGATACGCCAGGCCCTGTGTGGCGTCCAGTGCTATCCGCACGCGCTCCTCCCACGTAAGCGGGCGGTGCTTGTACACTCCTGTGTGGTCGTCTGGAGGTCATTGTAAAAGGAGGGGGAAGGAGGAGGCAGAGGAGAAGAGAGAACGGTAGGGCACACGTGAGAGGGTGGTGCTTGTACTCGCCCGTGTGGTCGAGTGGAGGTCGTTAGAGGGCGGATGTGGGAGGGGGACAGAGAAGGGAGATGGAAGCAGTGAGGCAAACCAAAGGGGCTATTCTTAGGTAAGCGCACGGTGCTTGTACACGGCCGCCCGAACACCTGCTGCTTGTTTGAAGGGGGATGGAACGAGGATGGAAAGCAGGGATAAGGTTACAGAAGGCGTAAGGCCTCTGCGACACAAGTAAGACACGGGGAGATGAGAAGAGACGAGAGGAGCGAGGCCTTTTTCCTCCCCGTATCGAGGAGAGGAAAAAGAGGCCAGGAGGGGAGGTGAGGAAAGCGGAGGAGAGGAGCAGAGCAGCAGCACCTGGGAGGAGCTAGGAGTGGGGGTTGGGGGTACCTGGGAAGAGCCAGGAGTCGAGGCTGCCGTTCTCGAGCAGCTCATACACCAGCACTGCCTCGTCCCTGTCCGTGCTGTACCCCAGCAGCCGCACCAGGTTCGGGTGCTGCAGGCGACCTAATAGCAGCACCTCCGCCTGGGAGCACACAGGAGGCAACGAGGGCAAGAGAGCGGGAGAGCGGGAGATTGAGGGGCATGGAGGCTCGTCCCTGTCCGTGCTGTACCCCAGCCGCCGCACCTCCGCCTGCAGAGATGAGTATGTGGGAGACAGAAGGAGAGAGAGGGACTAAGCCACACTAGATCACTGACCAACCTCCCCTCCTCCCACACAATTGCTATTTCCCTCCCCAACTTTCCCCCTTCCCCCCTCTCACCATCCACTCGCCGAAGCCCTGAAAGCTCTCTTCATCCAGCATCTTGATTGCGAGCGGCCGCTTCTCACCCTTGAGCAGTTCGCCCATCCACTCCTCCATGGCCCCGCGGTACACCTTGCCTCTCAATGCTTCAACGCCCCTCGTATTCATCATCCTCCCCTCCTTCCACTCACAATGCCCCCCTTCCCTCACTCACTATCCTCCCTCCTTCCCCCCCATCCCCCCTCTTCCCCTTCCCTTTCCCCCCCTCACCATCCACTCGCCGAAGCCCTGAAAGCTCTCTTCATCCAGCATCTTAATCACCCACTCACCATTTCCCTCCCTCCCCCCTCCCTACCCCCATAACCCTCCACCACTCACCATCCACTCGCCGAAGCCCTGAAAGCTCTCTTCATCCAGCATCTTGATGGCGAGCGGCCGCTTCTCCCCCTTGGGCAGTTCCCCCATCCACTCCTCCATGGCCCCGCGGTACACCTTGCCGAAGCTGCCCGCGCCCAGCACGCTCTCGTCGCGGAACCGGTTGGTGGCGGCCTGCAGCTCTTTGTACGTGAAGCGCCGCAGGTTGGACGCTAAAATGGATTGTTCTCCGCCGGTCCCATCCGTGGATTCTGGGAGGGCGGAAAGGGGGAAAAGCGGGAAGGAGGAGGGGGGAGGGGGGAGAAGGGGGGAGGATGCAGGGGGGGAGGGGAGGGGAGGATGGAGGAAGCGGTTGGCGGCGGCCTGTAGATCTTTGTATGTGAAGCGAAGGAGGTTGGACGCTAGAATGGACAGCTCGCCGCCGGTTCCGTCCGTGGATTCTGGGAGGGGAGGAGAGGGGAGAAGCGGGGAGCAGAATGCAGCAGGAAGAGGAGAGGGAATGCAGGAAGCGGTTGGCGGCGGCCTGCAGCTCCTTGGTCGCGAATCGACGCAGGTTGGACGCCAGAATCGACTGTCGCCGCCGCTCGCGTCCGTTGATTGCTCTGGATGTGTGGAAAGGGGAGATGGGGGGAAGAGAAGGGGGGGACGAGATGCAAGAGGAGGGGAGGAGTCGCGGAAGCGCCACGCCGTAGTGTCTTCGCGCGTGCCTGAAATAGATGGTGCATTTCACATCTGATAGCCAGTTAATTAAACAATGCCTTTTTTTAGTGCATACAATGCGTGATTTCTTGATGTGAAAGGTTATCTGACATGCGTAGCTAACGGTACGCTTCTCGTTATAAGCACGGCATCCATGACTTAGAGTGTTATCCGACTAGCGTACCTCACATCACATCCATGACATTCATGACGTGCGACTCGCATACCTGACATCCATGGCTGACTGCTCTTGCTGCTCTTGCTGGTGCTGTTCTTGGTGATTTTGATCGATTGCTCCTCTATACTCAGGCAGCACCCCATGCCGCTTCTTCTCCCTCCTAACGAAAACGATCCTAAGTTGCTAAGTGACCGGCGATAACGCTTCTACGAATTAAGCTGTATCCATGTCGCATGGACCGGCGAAAATGCCGTACACGATCGGAGCTTATTCTTAAATAATTCTACTATACTAGATAGGTATTTGGGATGTCCAGCCGAGAATGGAACGCGCAAAGGAGATAAAATATGTCGAAGACGCGAAACAGCTCAAACCTATGACCTAACTTGGCGGAAAACTTTATCTGTACCTAGTACTACCGCCAGCTTGCACAGGATCATCTCAGGCGAAAAATGCTACCCAACGCAAAATCTGCTTCCTACCTACCGAACCAAAGAAATAGTCGTGCCTGACTGATCAATGCAAGCTCGAATGCTACACCAGCGGGAACTAGACACTCGGCATGGATTATCCGTCGAAATGTCCCTAATTAGCTGGCCTCGCGAACGGAGTCAGATATACGCCATTGCTCCGACGCGCAAGAGGCTCGCATGCGTGCTTTTGTCGAGGGGAGGGAGAGAAACAGGTGCGCTTGGCGTGGTGTGGAAAGGCGAGGCTACAAGACAACACGTATGTGCAGTTCGCACAAACAGAGTAACCCAGCACAGAACACGGACGGACACGGCATCTATGCGTTGCAGACAAGAACAGTGAAGGCCAGAAAACGTCATGGCTGAATGGCACAGACTGTCAGCAAGACTGCCGCTTCTGTGACTGCCTCCCACACTGCTGCTTCGTACGGCGACATGCTGGGCAACTGTACCGCTTTTACCAGGTTATCTAATATATGTCGCAACTACATGGTACCATTGGTTTCCAGCAGAAACATTATTTCAGAAACAAACCAGGTCAACCATCTAAATCACAGATTGAGTACAACCACAAACGCTCAATTAGACAGCTTTCAACTTCTTGTCATTGCGCCTGCGCTTTCTGCACTCCCTCTCATCCTCCCCATACTCTTTCTTCTTCATTGCTCCCCACAGCCCATCCACCACCCCCTTGGCTGCCTCCCTCGCCACTGCTGCCACATCCCCAGACACAGACCCTTGTAACGAAGCCAATAGATCTTTGCCACCTGGCACTTCCCCATCAGCCAGCACTTTATACTTCACATCCGCTGAAGCCCCTTCTGCTACACCCCCTGATGCTCCAGTGGCATCAGCAGCAGCATTTTCAGCAGTCTGATCAGCAGCATGGGCAGCAGCAGGGCCCACACTCAGGACTAGAACACGAGCAACAGCAGCGAGCGCTATCCGGGCGGCAGTGGCAGCAGCTGCCGCCTCAGCTTCTGGGGTCATGACACTGTCCTCGCTGGGAAGTGATTCTGCAGCTCCAGCTACAGTCCAAATCTTGCCGTTCGGAGCGAAGGAAAGACTGGTGGCTGGCACTCCATCGTTGAGAGTGATGCACTGCAACACAGAAGTGCAGAGCAGAGCAGAGGAGCAGGGTGTGTGAGATCAGGTAGTGTGCGACAGCAGGATGTGGAACCTCTGTCACGAACCAGATTAGCAAGAGAATCAGCACTGACTGCACACAACCAGGGCATGGATGCATGAGAATGTGGATCGTGAAGTGAGAATCAGAGCGGGAAGAACGCACAGCCCAACAGCATCACAGCAGAGGGAACACGCCAGCACACTCACTCCCCTCCAGACACACATCCACCTTAATGAAAAGGCAACGGGAGGAGGAGAACGAGGGAACCAACGTACCCGACTAGCCATGAGCAAATGGACGGCAAGCCGCGTCTGCTTCTATCTGCACGAGCCTCCCTCTGGACATCGGCGACATGCCCGGAGCCCCTCTTGCGAGGGACCAACCGGACCTGCGCCGAGCCTGCGAGGGTTTTATTTGGCGCAGTTATGACTCGAAATCCTTCCATGGGTGCGCCTGGCTCTGCCCCCGAGGGGGCGAGACGCAGGCAGCACGGATAGGCGCTCTCAAGGACTGCGCGTGAGGCGGACTGATGTGCCGAGGCTCAGCAACTTGTTTACACAGATAGACAAACAGACAGACGGACGGACAGACGGACATGGATGAAGAATGACTACATGACAGAGGAAAAACAACACCAAGGGAACTTGAGGATGAAACACACCTGAAGCATTTGCAGTGTGCGAGCCGAAGGGTCAAAGCGGAGCAAAGACACGCATGGCGAGCTGAAGAGAAAAAAGAAGAGCAGAGAACGGGGAAGGAACCGGGGGGGAGGGGGAAGTGATGTTAGTGGAGAGCATGCGACAATAAGGAACAGACGACAATGTGACAATCAGCATCGCCCAAATGTCCTGCTTATGAACTCTGAACACACACGATGCTGGCAGGCTCGCATAGCGAAGCACCTACCTGGCAACAGCTCCAGCGATCAAACAGCCACTCGGATCGACCGCGACAGCTACCAGCGACGAACCATCCGCTGTTGATCCTATCTTCCCACCCCTGCTCCCCCCCGCATCTTCTTCAGGATTAGCTACGCCCTCGGTCTCCGCCGTGCCTCCTGCCTCCGCTTCCGCTTGTTCTCCGCCACCCGCGGAGTCCACTGCCATGGGGGAAGGCCCTTCCGCCTGCGCAGGCGATGGCGGAGGCGGCATGCGCAGCACCTGGAGGCAGCGGCCGTCTGAAGGGCCCCACAGACGCACCTGCAACATCGGTGGGACGAGAACGACACGTTGAAAAAGCCACGTTAATAAAATCAGGGTTCGAAAGTCGAAGAGGCAGGAATCACACGTCGAGAAAGCCGAAGATCGGCAACATCAAAGGCGAAAGCGGGGGGACGGGAAAGGCGAAAATACGCACTCACCGTTGCGTCAGCCGCGGCGGACAGAAGCAGCTGCTGCGAACCATCCCCGGCCGCAACGACGCCGTCGGTCTTGCCGTGCTTGGCTGGTGTCGGCTCGCCAACAAAGGCTAGAGCTGTCAGGAACCTGGCGAGTGGAAGGGTGAAAGCAATAAGACACGGACATGGGATTAGATAAGGGAACGAGCGGGTGATAGCAGCGTACCAATGGAGAGTCTGGGAGAATACAGAGAAGACAATGCGAAAATACAAATGTAAATGAACAATGCTTCGGGTAGAAACACAAATGCCATGGCACCGTACCCTGTATGTCCAAGGCAGAAGCTCTGAATCTCATGAGCGCCTTCCAAAGGATGGTCGGGGAACACGGACACCTGCTCAAGAGAAATAGTGGTAAGTCCGATAGTTATGCTGGGAGATTGAAATAGAAACAGAGAATTAGGATGTAACCTGGTATCATGGCCTGAGAATGCAAGTTGTAAAAAAACTGCAGGGAGATCTACCAGAAACGAAGCAGGTAACAGCAGGTAAAAATTAAGACTGGAATCTACTGCACTGAAGCAACCCATGCAAGCCCTGGACCAGCAGAAGGTACCACAACGTACCTACACGAATCTTTCCGTCCCGATCGCCAGTAGCAATGAAGCGATTGCCGTGCGACATCGCCTGCAACAGTAAGTCGGAAGCAAAAGAGACAAGCACAGGATACATGTCTTAAGAAACCTTCTGATTCCAACGGAAATTCGCAGGAATAACGGAACTGAGGAGTCTAGCAGGTGCATGAATTACGCATGGAGAGACATGTTAGGATACTAAGCCCGAAAATTTATAAACGTACGAGGCAGGTGATGATGCTGCAGCAGTGGCCCAGCAGCTGCTTCGCTGTCTCCACCGCTCGCTTGCCTTCGCCTCCTTCTCCGTTCTGAGCAGCGAGGTCGGTCGGCGACGGCACGGCGAGAGCGTGAACGACGCCGAACTTGTCGGCGAAGAGCAGCCAGCGACCGTCGCTGCTGAACCCCATGGCGCTCACTCGCTTGGACACCTTCCTGAACAAAGAAATGCGAAATCAAGCAGCACAAAACAACCACAAAAAAGGATGATTAGAACTTATCGTCTCCCTATGAAGAACAATGCATCATCCGAAAAAAACGAAAATTGAGAATGTCAGTACAGAAGTAATCCAAATCTGACTTCTAAAACATCTTCACTTACTCCTTATGGCAGCAAGTCCAGCTGTTTGACGGCGACTGCACCTCCCTGACCCAGAGATTGACGATCTTATCGTCGCCCGCCGTCGCCATGACACGGCCGGTGGGGTCCACGCACATGGCTCGCACGGCGTCGCCATGTGACACTGCCTGCTCCGCACCGTCGCTGCTCTTGAACGAAACCGCCGAACCCGAACTGCATAAACGAAAATGTGAAAGCTTAAGAATTTAGCAACCTTAGGGCCACTCCGAATCTGTCAGCACAATACCATGGCCTCGAGGCTATCAGGCCCTAACGATCTGGCGCTATAACTTGACATAATTTACCTAATATCGAAGCCTCGGACAGCGGCACCCGCGGTGGCAAAGACAGGCGAGCCTGACGGGTGAAGCGCGAGGAGAGACGGAGCCAGCGAGCCTGTCTTCTTGCCTCCACTCCCTCCATAGTCGTCAACACCCGCTTCTTCAACACCCGCTTCCTCGTTCACCTCGCATGGGTCACATCCGGTACCCATCTTAACTAGCCCCTCCACTTCACCTGTTGGCCGCTCGGCCTCCATTACATAGGATGGTGGTCTCTCGGACCTGGTCTGACTACCCTCTCGAAGACCTCTTTTCCTTGTAGGCTTACGGTTGGTGTCTCGAGATTTGGTGGTCTTGGGCTGGGGGGGTGAGAGGGTGGTTGCCTCGCATTATTCTGAATAAGCAGCCCATCAGTGTACGAAATGCTAGACGTCATTACCTGAAGTACTTTCAGATCTTGCCACATGAATGCAATACCAAGCATAAGCAGCCATTGTGCCATTTATAGCAGTGGAGATGGCACCCACAAGTACTTCTTGAAGTACGTACCCGAGTACTCTTCATGAAAATGACGCCGATGACCGATGATGCTCGCAATCCTCCCACGCCCTTGCTGGCTTTGCAATAGGCCCATACAAGTGCAGCCACGTGACCCAGCGGAAAAAAAACGCTTGGAACAAGCGCTTCAAGGCCCAAAACGCGGAACGATCCACACATCTGCAGGAAATGCAGTGGACGCTCTTTATTTGCAAGCGCCGATGACCGATAATGCTCGCAACTCACCCACGCCCTTACTAGCTTGGTAATAGGCCCAGACAAGCGCAACCACGTGACCCGGCGGAAGAAAAACGCTCGGAACGAGCACTTCCAGCCCCAAAACGCGGAAGGATCCGCACATGTGCAGGAAGTGCAGCGGGCGCTCTTCATTCGCGAGCGCCGATGACCAATGATGCTCGCAACCCGCCCACGCCCTTGCTGGCTTGGCAATAGGCACAGACAAGCGCAGCAACGTGACCCGGCGGAACGAACGCTTCCAGCCCCAAAACGCGAAAGGATCCGCACATATGCACGAAGTGAAGCGGGCGCTCTTCATTCGCGAGCGCCGATGACCAATGATGCCTGCAACCCTCCCACACCCTTGCTGGCTTGGCAATAGACCCAGACAAGCGCATCCACGTAACTCGGCAGAAGAAAAACGCTCAGAACGAGCGCTTCTAGCCCCACAACGCAGAAGGAAGCGAACATGTGCAGGTTGTACAACGGGCGCTCTTCGTTCGCGAGCACCGGTGATCGATGATGCTTGCAACCCTCCCACGCCCTTGCTGGCTTAGCAATAGGCCTAGACAAGCGCAGCCATGTGACCCGGTGGAAGAAAAATGCTCAGAACGAGCGCTTCCAGCCCCAAAACGCGGAAGGATCCGCGCATGTGCAGGAAGTGCAGCGGGCGCTCTTCATTCGCGAGCGCCGATGACCAATAATGCTTGCAACCCTCCCACGCCCTTGCTGGCTTGGCAATAGGCCCAGACATGCGCCATGTGACCTGGCAGGAGAAAAACGCTCGGAACGAGTGCTTTTAGCCTCAAAACGCGGAAGGATCCGCACATGTGTAGGAACTGCAGCGGGTGCTCTTCATTCGCGAGCGCCGATGAACAATGATGCTCGCAACCCTTCCACGCGGAACAAGGGCCTAGCGTGCGCCAAATTGCAAGAACAAGGGCCTAGCGTGCGTAAAATTGCAAGAACAAGGGCCTAGCATGTGCAAATAGCAAGAACATGGGTGTAGCGTGTGCAAAATTGCAAGAACAAGGGCCTAGCGAGTGCAAAATTGCAAAAACAAGGGCCTAGCGAGTGCAAAATTGAAAGAACAAGGGGCTAGCGAGTGCATAATTGCAAGAACAAGGGCCTAGCGTGTGAAAAATTGCAAGAACAAGGGCCTAGCGTGTGCAAAATTGCAAGAACAAGGGCCTAGCGTGTGCAAAATAGCAAGAACAAGGGCCTAGTGTGTGCAAAATCGCAAGAGCAAGGGCCTAGCGAGTGCAAAATTGCAAGAACAAGGGCCTAGCGTGTGCAAAATTGTACACTCACACAAATGTAAACTCTCATGCACACAATCACACATGCACTCATGACACTGCTGCCCACACTAGTGCAATGCCATGCCACACATCTTAGCACACTTCCAATGTGCGCTCTCGGGAAGTCTCTTGGTGAGAAAATCTGCCGCCTGTTTGCTAGCCTTCACACGGTGAAGCTCAACAGCTCCTTCCTTCACCATCTGCCTCACCCACTGCCACTTAATCTTCATGTGCTTGTTTAGCCCATTCAGGATAGGATTATTGGCCATGTCAACAGCAGCCTCACTGTCGGAGAAAAGTGGTGTAGGTCCCTCCTGTTCAGCTCCGATGTCCTCCAGCACCTTCCTCAGGAGCACGATCTCCTTAATGGCATGGTACACCGCCATGTACTATGCCTCTCCGGAAGACTGAGCAATCTCACTCTGCTTCTTGGACCTCCAGCTCACTGGTCCACCTTCGACCATGCACACAAAGCCGCCAACTGATGACTGATCCTCCTCCTCTGAAGCCCACGTAGCGTCGGTGAAGCACGACAGCTTCAAGGTTCCAGGCGTGACCCCATCTGCTCGAATCTGTTTCAGCTGGCCGCCAGCTGAAAGCTGAACACCAAGCGCTTTGCCACCTCTAACTGCTCCTCAGTGGGCCCTGCACAACTCTGGCCAGCTGCCCCACTCTGAACGAAGCATCAGGTCGCGTATGCACTGCAGCATACATCACACTCCCAATGAGTGACTGGTACTCGTTCTACTGCTCATCCTCGAGTACATAATCCTCCTCAGCTGCCTTCTTCAGTTTGAAGCCCGCAGGGAACGGTGTCATCACAGTGCGACCCCCAGTCACACCATATCACTCCATGACACTAGAGATGTAGTATTACTGATGCACCTTCAGCCACCTCCTCTCAACATCCCTCTCAATCTGCAGCCCCAAGTAGTAGTGGACATCCCCCAGCATCTTGCACTTGAAGTTGTCCATCAGCAGCTTCTGTGTCCTCTCAATCTGCTCAATGGAAGGCGAGAACAGCAGTATGTCATCCACATACACCAGCAGCAAGAGCAGCTGCTCCCCCTCTCCAAGCAGAAACAAGCTGTGATCCGCCTGGGACGTCTTGAAGCCTCCACCCAACAGCACCTCCTCCAGCTTCTCGTACCAGCACTTGGGCACTTGCTTAAGGCCATAGATGGCCTTCTTAAGCTTGCACACCCAGCTGGTCCCATCCTCATAGCCGTCAGGCTGCGCCATGTATGTATCCTCCAGCAGCACTCCATTGAGGAACGCAGTGGTGATATCAATCTGCTTCACGTGCCATCCCTTCACAGCTGCGCCAGCCATCAAAGTCCTCAGTGTCACTGGCTTAGCAACGGGAGCAAAGATCTCCCCAAATTCGACCTTCTCTTTCTGCTGAAACCCCTTGGCGACCAAACAGCTCTTGAACCGCTTCAACGCACCATCAGCACCACTCTTCACCTTGAAGACCCACTTGCTGCTGATTGGCCGTCGCCCCTCGGGTAACTCAACAAGCTCCCAAGTCCCATTCTCAATAAGACTGTTGAACTCCGCATCCATGGTAGCCTTCCACTCCTCCTTCTGGGGTCCACTCAGTGCCTCCTCCACTGTGGGTGGTTCTCCAGGCAAGGGTGTGAAGAAAAAGAAGGCCATCTCCTCATCCTCTCCCTCATCCGCCTGAACCGCCATGGCACCTTGCTTGGGTCCTCCCAAACGGGTATACTTCAGCCTTGAGGGTGCTGCTGCCACTCTCTTCTCGCGGGTTGCAATCTGCTGTCCATGTGGTGAAGCTCCTCTCTGCACACTGTCACAATAGTAAGCAGAACGAGGAGCCATAGCTAGGGTTTACCTAGCTAAGCAAGAGAGAATTAGGCAAAGGAGGAGGTTCACTAGCAAGCAGGTGGATACAAATAAGAAACCCTAAGGGGTCATACTCACTACAGAGTACCGCACTGCAGGCTAGACAAACTGCACATTCTGACACACCCCCATAGTCAAAGTGGGGTATAATCAGCAGAGCAAGTAGTCATAGAGCAGGTTCACAAGTGCAAGCAAAGCTAGAGGCATTCACAACAGGCACGTGAGGAGGAGGAGGCTGGACTGTGAGAGGAGAGGAGATAGGAGGCGACGGCTGAAGCTGCAGACACACGGGCAACAGGAGTGGCTAGCACAGTGGCTACCGGGACAGCGCCCCGGACTACTAGAGTAACTGGCTTTGCGGCTAACTCTAAGCGGCAAGAGCAACGGACCCACGGGCGACAAGTGCAGCAGGCTCTCTGGGCTACCAGAATAGCGCCCCGGACTACAGGTGCTGCGGACGACAAGACGACAACCTCCGCTCAACCTCCCCCAACTGTCCCACCCCCTTTTTCACACACCCCTTGCTGCACCCCTAGCTCCACTCCCACGTCACCCCCTTAGCACCACTCCCTCGGCTCCCACACACCCACCCCCCTCAGCAGCAGCTGCAGCAGTGGGAGACGGAGGAGGAGGAGGAGCAGGGGACGGCTCACACACCCGCCACCCCCATACACGTCACCCCCATACTCTGAGTGTGCGGTAAGCGAGCTCAGGTGTGCGCGAAGCATGCACAAGCGTGCGGTAAGCAAACTCAGGTGTGCGTGGAGGGGGGGGGGGGGGCGCAGGGCGACGTGCGGGTCGACGGGGACGGGCGCACGGGTCCCCAGGGGCGGCGCGCGGGTCGACGGGGCCGCCGCGAAGGGGGAGGGGGAGCCGCGCGTGGGTCGACAGGGCCGCCGTGAAGGGGGGCCGGGAAGCTGCGTGCGGGTCGACGGGGCCGCCGCGAAGGGCGACGGGGAGCCGCGCGCGGGTTGACGAGGCCGCCGCGAAGGGCAACGGGGACCCGCGCGGAGGTCAACGGGGACGGGCGCGCGGGTCGACGGATTGCAAAACCGCCGCGCGCGCCCAGGGTGCGCGGCGGGCAGGAAAACGCCACGCATCCCAAGCGCATGGCAGGCAGAAAACCGCCACGCGCCTCGAGCGCGTGGCGGGAAGAAAAAATGTACATCGCATGCCACGGGGCGGGCGACAGACAGTAAGGCAGCGGAAGCAGGCGGGCCCACAGGCCAGGAGCGACACTACTTTGATAGCATGTCACAATAATAAGCAGAACGAGGAGCCATATCTAGGGTTTACCCAGCCAGGCAATAGAGAAT